TCATTGATGTTTCATATCGATTGATCGATTTACATTTCGGAACATTTACACAACATGTTTCGGTTTTTATAAAACCGTCATCAGGTGTAAAATATATCTAAGAACTTAAAACTCAAACAGAAATCATAATTAAGTTTTAAGTTCTTAGATATATTTTACACCTGATGACGGTTTTATAAAAACCGAAACATGTTGTGTAAATGTTCCGAAATGTAAATCGATCAATCGATATGGAACATCAATGATATTTTATTATCTTAATTATAAGAAATTTTAAATATTGTGATCAGACGGATTAAAATAAATAATTGTGATAATATTCACAATATGACGCAATTACACTATCTTACACTACCGCTATTATGTTTAACAATAAAGATTACAGAAGACGTAATTGTATCACGATGAGCAATATATTAGGCACATAGAAGTTTAAACCGAAAATATAACAATATAATACAATAAAACAGCATATTCTTATTGATAACAAAGTAAAATCTGATAACTGTGCCTGAAAAATCATACGAGAAACACTAGTAAACACTTTTTGAACACGAAGCTTGTAAACAGCGCTCTCTCCAACCGCCATCTTGGACTGTACTTGGAATACCAACATGACCAACCTAATTGCACTAAATTTAAAATAATACACCTGTCAGCATAACATTCTTTTATTTTGGCTAGGAACTATTAAAATTCTCGGAGAACGCGTATGGAAAATGTGTTTTCCGTTATGGATCACGTTTTTCAAGCCTTGTTATTGTCTTGCAACCTCTTTGATCAATACACGACTAAAAATGACCACGTTCTATAAATCAAGAAGGAACCTAACCTAACATTTATATGCGCTACACGACCAATTGCATTCTGGGGCGCCTGCACAATGATACTTTATCGTTGTGATAATCCCAACAGCGACAATTCTTACGTGTGGGTGTAGATGTTAACTAATAATAATACAGTAAGCTATTCCCATCTTGATGTATTTTTCTACAAAGGAAATTTTCGAGAGAGAAACAGGGTGATGGTACATCGAAACCCTATATCTCGTGCCAATTTTCTTGGGATGTACAAAACTGTCCTGTCCACAGCGGAGCGAAGCCAAGACTAATTTTTTCAAACGTAGATTCAGAATGCCTTTTTAACATTTGCACACGAAGACGATATAAATCATTTACCAGTTACAATTAGTGTTTAGACCAAATTATTTTGAGTGATCGACTGTATAATGTTAAACACATTAAGAAGAGGGTCCATAAAAGTTGTGTTAATATTCAAAGGCTAATTCCACGCAGCGTAGAAATTTATTGAGAAGCTGACAGTCGCTCATTTAGCCAATCGACATTGTATTTATTTATGATTCATTATAATAGAAAACTTCCATTTGTGATTAGGTCTAGCAGTTTGTTTATACGCTTATAATCTTTCATTGCGTGCTATATTCCTAGCCCATCTCACTTATTTTGATCGTAATATTCAGATTCGGGGAAAAATTGTGAGCAGTCTTCTCCATTCCTGTCGCTCGTAGTCGGAACGCGACCATCGGCTACCTGTTTCTCCTCACGTGACGTAAAACGACGTTTTGGTCCGAGTAACTGCAGAGACACTTGAACGTCACAGGGCGAAACGTCAGTTTTTATGTGACTTCCGGTCCACGCAGACAGGACCACAATGCACTCTGTTTCTTGCTGCTGTGCACTTCACAACTCGACGTTTCATAAAAACCGATTCAGACACACTCGTCTCGGTGACGTCGCCTTCTGAGATTCTACACGCACCGAAGACTCAGAGCTGCATTCTTATTTATGAACTTTCGCGTTTACCCTCAGCGTGCACTCGGAAGCCTTACACATGACAGCGATAAGGTTTGTGTATCTTTCAGAAAACACAAATTTAAAAAAAATAAATAAATCTACGAAAAATGAACAAGACCACCTGCATGAATAAATTAACATCATGTTTCCTACCCAGTGGTTCGCCGTCCACTGTTGGAGCACAGTTCAATTTATTCCGCTACTCAAACCGTGGTTATCACTTTTATTACCACAGGAGAAAAAGTGATATGTTACATGTGAATGTGTTCTCGTTTCGTTTTATGAAATAAATTTTTATGTTAAAAAATCAATGCTTTTTTTTTCGATTTTATTTCATTTTTCTGTATTTGTTCACGGCAAATAAAAATTTATAACGACGTAATTGCGTATACCAGAGTTTCTCAACCTATGGCTAGCGTACCACTAGTGGCACGCGAACTAAGTAAGATAATCAAAAGATATAAGAATTTATAACTTGTGTTGGGCAAGGCCGTGGTCTAGGCAACACGGAGTTTTCCTCCGTGGCATCCCAACAATTACTCCATTCACACACAGAAGAAGGCAATGGCAAACCACTTCTGGATCATCTGCCAAGAACATATATGAACAGGTCCCAGTC